ATTGCTACTAACTGCGAGTACTGCTACTAACTGCGAGTACTGCTACTAACTGCGAGTACTGCTACTAACTGCGAGTACTGCTACTAACTGCTACCTAACTGCGAGTACTGCTACTAACTGAGAGTACTGCTACTAACTGAGAGTACTGCTACTAACTGAGAGTACTGCTACTAACTGAGAGAACTGCTAACTAACTGCGAGTACTGCTACTAACTCCTAACTAACTGCGAGTACTGCTACTAACAGAGTACTGCTACTAACTGCTAACTAACTGCGAGTACTGCTACTAACTGAGAGTACTGCTACTAACTGAGAGTACTGCTACTAACTGAGAGTACTGCTACTAACTGCTAACTAACTGCGAGTGCTGCAACTAACTGAGAGTACTGCTACTAACTGCTAACTAACTGAGAGTACTGCTACTAACTGCGAGTATTGCTACTAACTGCGAGTACTGCTACTAACTGCGAGTACTGCTACTAACTGAGAGTACTGCTACTAACTCCTAACTAACTGCGAGTACTGCTACTAACTGCGAGTACTGCTACTAACTGAGAGTACTGCTACTAACTGAGAGTACTGCTACTAACTGAGAGTACTGCTACTAACTGAGAGTACTGCTACTAACTGAGAGTACTGCTACTAACTGCGAGTACTGCTACTAACTGAGAGTACTGCTACTAACTGAGAGTACTGCTACTAACTGAGAGTACTGCTACTAACTGAGAGTACTGCTACTAACTGCTACCTAACTGCGAGTACTGCTACTAACTGCTACCTAACTGCGAGTACTGCTACTAACTGAGAGTACTGCTACTAACTGAGAGTACTGCTACTAACTGCTAACTAACTGCGAGTACTGCTACTAACTGCTACTAACTGCGAGTACTGCTACTAACTGCTAACTAACTGAGAGTACTGCTACTAACTGCTAACTAACTGAGAGTACTGCTACTAACTGCTAACTAACTGAGAGTACTGCTACTAACTGCTAACTAACTGAGAGTACTGCTACTAACAGAGTACTGCTACTAACTGAGAGTACTGCTACTAACTGAGAGTACTGCTACTAACTGCTAACTAACTGAGAGTACTGCTACTAACTGCTAACTAACTGAGAGTACTGCTACTACTGAGAGTACTGCTACAACTGAGAGTACTGCTACTAACTGAGAGTACTGCTACTAACTGCTAACTAACTGAGAGTACTGCTACTAACTGAGAGTACTGCTACTAACTGAGAGTACTGCTACTAACTGCTACTAACTGAGAGTACTGCTACTAACTGAGAGTACTGCTACTAACTGAGAGTACTGCTACTAACTGAGAGTACTGCTACTAACTCCTAACTAACTGCGAGTACTGCTACTAACTGCGAGTACTGCTACTAACTGAGAGTACTGCTACTAACTGAGAGTACTGCTACTAACTGAGAGTACTGCTACTAACTGAGAGTACTGCTACTAACTGCTACCTAACTGCGAGTACTGCTACTAACTGAGAGTACTGCTACTAACTGAGAGTACTGCTACTAACTGCTAACTAACTGCGAGTACTGCTACTAACTGCTACTAACTGCGAGTACTGCTACTAACTGCTAACTAACTGCAAGTACTGCTACTAACTGCTAACTAACTGCAAGTACTGCTACTAACTGCTAACTAACTGCAAGTACTGCTACTAACTGCTAACTAACTGCGAGTACTGCTACTAACTGAGAGTACTGCTACTAACTGCTAACTAACTGAGAGTACTGCTACTAACTGCTAACTAACTGCGAGTACTGCTACAACTGAGAGTACTGCTACAACTGAGAGTACTGCTACTAACTGAGAGTACTGCTACTAACTGCTACTAACTGAGAGTACTGCTACTAACTGCTACTAACTGAGAGTACTGCTACTAACTGCTAACTAACTGAGAGTACTGCTACTAACTGCTAACTAACTGCGAGTACTGCTACTACTGAGAGTACTGCTACAACTGAGAGTACTGCTACAACTGAGAGTACTGCTACAACTGAGAGTACTGCTACAACTGAGAGTACTGCTACAACTGAGAGTACTGCTACTAACTGAGAGTACTGCTACTAACTGCTAACTAACTGAGAGTACTGCTACTAACTGAGAGTACTGCTACTAACTGAGAGTACTGCTACTAACTGAGAGTACTGCTACTAACTGCTAACTAACTGAGAGTACTGCTACTAACTGCTAACTAACTGCGAGTACTGCTACTAACTGCTAACTAACTGAGAGTACTGCTAACTAACTGAGAGTACTGCTACTAACTGAGAGTACTGCTACTAACTGAGAGTACAGTTAACAGTTAGTAGCAGTACTCGCAGTTAGTACTCGCAGTTAGTAGCAGTACTCGCAGTTAGTACTCGCAGTTAGTAGCAGTACTCGCAGTTAGTACTCGCAGTTAGTAGCAGTACTCGCAGTTAGTACTCGCAGTTAGTAGCAGTACTCGCAGTTAGTACTCGCAGTTAGTAGCAGTACTCGCAGTTAGTACTCGCAGTTAGTAGCAGTACTCGCAGTTAGTACTCGCAGTTAGTCGCAGTACTCGCAGTTAGTCACAGTTAGTCGCAGTACTCGCAGTTAGTCACAGTTAGTCGCAGTACTCGCAGTTAGTTGCAGTACTCGCAGTTAGTAGCAGTACTCGCAGTTAGTTGCAGTACTCGCAGTTAGTTGCAGTACTCGCAGTTAGTTGCAGTACTCGCAGTTAGTTGCAGTACTCGCAGTTAGTAGCAGTACTCGCAGTTAGTAGCAGTACTCGCAGTTAGTTGCAGTTAGTAGCAGTTAGTTGCAGTTAGTTGCAGTACTCGCAGTTAGTAGCAGTACTCGCAGTTAGTAGCAGTACTCGCAGTTAGTAGCAGTACTCGCAGTTAGTAGCAGTACTCGCAGTTAGTTGCAGTACTCGCAGTTAGTTGCAGTACTCGCAGTTAGTTGCAGTACTCGCAGTTAGTTGCAGTACTCGCAGTTAGTTGCAGTACTCGCAGTTAGTTGCAGTACTCGCAGTTAGTTGCAGTTAGTTGCAGTACTCGCAGTTAGTTGCAGTTAGTTGCAGTACTCGCAGTTAGTAGCAGTTAGTTGCAGTACTCGCAGTTAGTTGCAGTACTCGCAGTTAGTTGCAGTTAGTTGCAGTTAGTTGCAGTACTCGCAGTTAGTTGCAGTTAGTTGCAGTACTCGCAGTTAGTTGCAGTTAGTTGCAGTACTCGCAGTTAGTTGCAGTTAGTTGCAGTACTCGCAGTTAGTTGCAGTACTCGCAGTTAGTTGCAGTACGTTGCAGTACTCGCAGTTAGTTGCAGTACTCGCAGTTAGTTGCAGTACTCGCAGTTAGTTGCAGTTAGTTGCAGTACTCGCAGTTAGTTGCAGTTAGTTGCAGTACTCGCAGTTAGTTGCAGTTAGTTGCAGTACTCGCAGTTAGTTGCAGTTAGTTGCAGTACTCGCAGTTAGTTGCAGTTAGTTGCAGTACTCGCAGTTAGTTGCAGTTAGTTGCAGTACTCGCAGTTAGTTGCAGTACTCGCAGTTAGTTGCAGTACTCGCAGTTAGTTGCAGTACGTTGCAGTACTCGCAGTTAGTTGCAGTACTCGCAGTTAGTTGCAGTACTCGCAGTTAGTTGCAGTACTCGCAGTTAGTTGCAGTACTCGCAGTTAGTTGCAGTACTCGCAGTTAGTTGCAGTACTCGCAGTTAGTTGCAGTACTCGCAGTTAGTTGCAGTTAGTTGCAGTACTCGCAGTTAGTAGCAGTTAGTTGCAGTACTCGCAGTTAGTTGCAGTACTCGCAGTTAGTTGCAGTACTCGCAGTTAGTAGCAGTTAGTTGCAGTACTCGCAGTTAGTAGCAGTTAGTTGCAGTACTCGCAGTTAGTAGCAGTTAGTTGCCGTACTCGCAGTTAGTTGCAGTACTCGCAGTTAGTTGCAGTACTCGCAGTTAGTTGCAGTACTCGCAGTTAGTTGCAGTACTCGCAGTTAGTTGCAGTACTCGCAGTTAGTTGCAGTACTCGCAGTTAGTTGCAGTACTCGCAGTTAGTAGCAGTTAGTTGCAGTACTCGCAGTTAGTAGCAGTTAGTTGCAGTACTCACAGTTAGTAGCAGTTAGTTGCAGTACTCACAGTTAGTAGCAGTTAGTTGCAGTACTCACAGTTAGTTGCAGTACTCACAGTTAGTTGCAGTACTCACAGTTAGTTGCAGTACTCACAGTTAGTTGCAGTACTCACAGTTAGTTGCAGTACTCACAGTTAGTTGCAGTACTCACAGTTAGTAGCAGTTAGTTGCAGTACTCACAGTTAGTTGCAGTACTCACAGTTAGTTGCAGTACTCACAGTTAGTTGCAGTACTCACAGTTAGTTGCAGTACTCACAGTTAGTTGCAGTAGTAGCAGTTAGTTGCAGTAGTAGCAGTTAGTTGCAGTAGTAGCAGTTAGTTGCAGTACTCACAGTTAGTAGCAGTTAGTTGCAGTACTCACAGTTAGTTGCAGTTAGTTGCAGTACTCACAGTTAGTTGCAGTACTCACAGTTAGTAGCAGTTAGTTGCAGTACTCGCAGTTAGTTGCAGTACTCGCAGTTAGTTGCAGTACTCGCAGTTAGTTGCAGTACTCGCAGTTAGTTGCAGTACTCACAGTTAGTTGCAGTACTCACAGTTAGTTGCAGTACTCGCAGTTAGTTGCAGTACTCGCAGTTAGTTGCAGTACTCGCAGTTAGTTGCAGTACTCACAGTTAGTAGCAGTTAGTTGCAGTACTCACAGTTAGTTGCAGTTAGTTGCAGTACTCACAGTTAGTTGCAGTACTCACAGTTAGTAGCAGTTAGTTGCAGTACTCGCAGTTAGTTGCAGTACTCACAGTTAGTTGCAGTACTCGCAGTTAGTTGCAGTACTCGCAGTTAGTTGCAGTACTCACAGTTATCCACATGAAGTTTTCCATTTAAACTGATCCATTAAACGCACGCGGGAGGTCGACGTGTTTGATGGAGCACGTGACTCCGTGTTCACCTGAAACTTTACCTGGAGGTTTTGAGCCGATGCGGGACTGAAGGACTGAGGCCGCCTGAACCCGCCGCCCCTGCGCCACGTCGGGCCTCCGAACCCCCGGGACCCGCCGCCGAACCCGGCCGGAGTGTCTCCGAACCCCCGGGAACCGCCGCCGAACCCGCCGAACGGAGAACCGTCCCTGTATCCTCGGTTAGAACCCGGGGAATAGCTCGGAGAACCCGGAGAGTGCGCGGGGCCGCCCCGGGGAGATCCTCCGTAGGGAGAGCGAGTCCCGGGGAAACCCCAGCAGGAGGCCGGGGAGGGAAACCTGCCAGCCGGCCGCGGGGCTCCGGGACTCCGCTGAGGTCTGACCGGAGCTCGGTACATCTGTGCGGCTAGAAAAGAACAAAGAGACGGTGAGGAGACCCGGAGAGTTCTGCTGCTGGAGACCACAAACACAACACTGAGACCCAACCGGAAACACGCAGCTCTGCTCCCGGTCCTGCAGAAGGCAGCGCCGCCCAGCGGCCACCGGGGTCTTCCCCACACCTCGTAGCTTCACACCGCCCCCTACTGTCCGGAGTGCGTCACATCAGGGTTCAATCACCAGAAACGGTCCTTCAGACTTCGCTGAGACCGTTTCAGGATTCAAACCTCTTTTCTTCTTTCTTACTGATTAAAACGTGTAATTTTACCCAAGAACCCCTTTCAGTTCCTGAGCCGTCCACTGGAGAATCTGTGACCATGAAGCTTTGCTGAACCTGGTTTTTAGAGCTAAAGAGCTAAAGGATGGGATCTATAAATCCAGAGCTGAAGGAGAATGTGCGTCCTGGAAGTAAACTCGGACCCATGCCCAGCAAGACGTCTAAACAGAGCCCAGACGCCTGGGCTGAAACAGGGCTGAATTTGGAATATATATATATAATATTTTATCAATAATTCCTTTAATATAAATACAAATACAACATGTGGTAATAAAAACATAAATAATGAGAAAATAAATGGGTTGGCTACATCCAATCTACGCTGCTGCTTGATGCATCAGAGCATCAGGTGGGTCTCTCGGTTGGCGCCAGTCTCTCGGGGAAATGGGATCCATAACTGTTGAATATGTAAGAATATGAATATAAGTAAACATTATAATTTGACTATGTTCACTGTTTTCCCATAAGACATGACTACTATCATCAAATGAGTTTAAATGAAAACATTATATTTCTAATTATCATTTTAATGAAGGTAAAAAAAAAAAAGAAAAAATATCATTTATAACGTTTTTTTCTTTTAATTTAAAAGCCCTTATTTATTAACTTACTGACCCATTTACGGCTATAGAAAATATCAAGATACTTGAACAGGACACACGTTTCAGCCATCATGTTGCATTAGAACAACCAAACAGAGACATTGCTTTTATTCTTTTGTGTGTGCTGTGAATGTAAGTGTTCTGTTCTGAATATTTATCGTTATCGTTGTCTTTGCTGACTGTGTGCTGGAGAATTTGCAATAAATATTTAGTGTCAAAAGTCAAAAACTCATATTTCCATATCATAATGATCTAACGTTGGTGAGTAAAATATATGTGTGGCTTTCATTATAAAATTATAATAGGTTGCACATGTTTCATGTTCACCCCCTTTGAATTCAAGAGTTTTAAGGGCACGAGGAAACCAGTGGGCATCATGGAGTAACGTTACAGTAACGTGAAGTTACACTTGCATGCAGCATGTTAAGCTAACCACGACGTGCCTTACTCTAACGTCACACCCGCTGAAACGTGCTGGTTCCTACACATTAACATATAATGTACATAAATAATGAAGACATGTCAAACAAAGACACAGATTTAAGAACAAAGTAATTGTCTTTTTGCTTCCAGTGTTTGCAGTAAACTCTCGCCCGTTGCTCGCTGAAAGGCCAAAATCGTAACGTATCCCCTCGTTTAAAGATGGCGGATATGTTTATCGCGAGATCTGGCAACTCTGATGTCTACTAACTTTCAAGTCTCGCGTTGCCAGTAGTCATGTGTCAGTAGGGCTACAGCTGCCATCTAGCGGTTGAAAATAGTAATTGCATCTTGTTTTAAATTAAAATGAAAGTTAATGCAGGGAACGTTACAGCAAAAATAAAGATAATTTAAATGTTTCAAACGTTTACTTGCATTTGATGAAATGATATCACGCACCTCAACAGCTGCATGGGTGAAAACTACTACACCTCACGTGCTGCCAGGGCAAAAAGCCACTTTTAATCATTTTTGACTTATTTGACTAAAAGTGGGCTACAAATAGCCGGTCTGTCTACGAGCTAAATCGTGGCTACGCACAGGCTGCACGTAAAACATGTGAAAGAAATGAAACCTTGTAATCACTGTAGACCTTGCTTACATGATGGGATATCATACACCCTGCAAGTTATTTTGGCAAAAACGTCATGTAACCACATGTAAAGTTACTGTGGCTAGAAGTGGGTTCCTCATAGCCGGACTAAATCAGGTCTGTGCGTACGCACATGAAGAGGAGAGAAGGATGAAACGGTCTGACATGAAGAGGCCTGCTGCTGTGGAACAAAGACTTTCTGAAGAAACAAACAGCCGTTTGACTGATTGTCCCTGAAGTGGCAATAAAAAAACATCATTTAAGATCATTTGCGGCCACAAAAAGATCCAGATCCAGGATCAGAAACACAAACAGAGATTCTGTTATATAGATTGAAATGTAGTTTCTCAGGCAACATGTGATGCATTTTTTCCTTTCTAATTTCAAACCACTGTGCTAATACAGCCAGCTCAACACTGGCTGACAGGAACGCTGGACATAAAAGCAGGGACCAGGGAGTGCCCTTTGCAGTCTGGGTCCACCAAACCCGCACTCCAGGGTTACCAGCATTCATCTGTCAGCACTGTGACCAGTCCTCCCCATTCACGTGTCGTTCACGTGTCGTTCGCCAAAGAGTAAAATACAGAAGTATAGAATAGTATAGAATATACACACATTGTCACACACACACCTCTTTTAGTTAGACCTAAGGATGCACAGAGTCCTATTTATTAAGTGAACCCCGCCTTTCGCCCGATGTCAGCTGGGATTGGCTCCAGCCCCCCCACGACCCCGTACGCAGGATAAGCGGTTGACGATGGATGGACGGACTTTTACGTAAGTTTATTCTGTAGATAAATTTACATACACAGGCTGTTCATGCGCGTGAGTCTTCAGACCGTCTGTTGCAGCGAGAGAGAAACATCGTTCTTTGATATAGTGTGCCATCTGTTTTTGATGCTTTCGTGCGATTGTAGAGGATTGAATTGGGGCCATTTGTAGTGAACAGATGTAGGGACTTTGTATAAAAATTTGAGAACTCGAGCTACTAATTCAGTGAGTTATAGTTACTGAAGCAAAACCCGGTCTCCCCTACCTGGGTCGTCCCGTCTGTGTGGCCCCCTCCGGCCAGCGACGTCACTACTCAGAGTCACTGAGTTAGATTCAGAGGCTGCTTCCTTTTCTTCCTGCAGTCAGGACGCATTAATATCAATGAGCTTCACTGAGCGTTTACAGGCAGCTGTGGGCGTTTGGAGGGCCAGACATGGAGACACCTTTAGTGAGAATTCTATTATTTAAATATCACCTCCTGACCTCGACCAGACTGCAGCCAGGGACCATTTGTCTTTGTTTAGCAGCAAAGGGGTCTGGATCTGAGGAATCTGGATCTGAGGGGTCTGGATCTGAGGGGTCTGGGTCTGTGGGGTCTGGGTCTGTAGGGGTCTGGGTCTGGATCTGAGGGGTCTGGGTCTGTGGGGTCTGGGTCTGTAGGGGTCTGGGTCTGGATCTGAGGGGTCTGGGTCTGTGGGGTCTGGGTCTGTAGGGGTCTGGGTCTGGATCTGAGGGGTCTGGGTCTGTGGGGTCTGGGTCTGTAGGGGTCTGGGTCTGGATCTGAGGGGTCTGGGTCTGTGGGGTCTGGGTCTGTAGGGGTCTGGGTCTGGATGTGAGGTGGTCTGGGTCTGTGGGGTCTGGATCTGTGGGGTCTGTGTCTACCTAAATCCTACATTACCCATGAGCCTCAGCTGCTGTTGCCCTGGAGAAGAACAGAGTTGTGTTTTTAAAGGCCGTCAGTCTGAAGGTGTTCACTCGCTCAGAGCGTCAGAACCAGACTTCAGTTTGTTTTTGTTCCTTTCTCAGAGTGAACGAGGACAGGACACTGTGGTTCTGATGATATTCTCACAGACTCAAAGGATTAGCAGCGAGTCTCTGAACAGGATGTTTGTCCGCAGTCAGCTGACCGACTCCTCGTGCCTCCACTTCCCGATGACTCTGACTCCCAACTCTCAGGACACCACAGGCTCTGCAGCTGCGAACACGGCGTCTCTAATATGGAGACGTTTTTCTATGAAGTTCTGTATGGGACAGACTGAGGATGCCTGTTATCAGACTGAGGAAGATGAGGGGCGTGAGGATGATGAAGACGGCGTGCAGGGGGAGAAGCCTGCTGATTGGCTTGTTGTGTTGCAGGGAGGCGGGAGCTGAGCTCTGATTGGCTCTTTGATTTCTTCTTCAGAAACTCAGCAGACTTCAGGTACTCTACTGGTTCTACTGTTACCGTACTGATTCTGCTGTTACTCTACTGGTTCTACTGTTACCGTACTGGTTCTGCTGTTACCGTACTGATTCTGCTGTTACTCTACTGGTTCTACTGTTACCGTACTGGTTCTACTGTTACCGTACTGGTTCTACTGTTATGTTACTGTACCGGTTCTGCTGTTACCGTACTGGTTCTGCTGTTACTCTACTGGTTCTACTGTTACTCTACTGGTTCTGCTGTTACTGTACTGGTTCTGCTGTTATGTTACTGTACCGGTTCTGCTGTTACCGTACTGGTTCTGCTGTTACTCTACTGGTTCTACTGTTACCGTACTGGTTCTGCTGTTACTCTACTGGTTCTGCTGTTACTCTACTGGTTCTACTGTTATGTTACTGTACCGGTTCTGCTGTTACCGTACTGGTTCTGCTGTTACTCTACTGGTTCTACTGTTACTCTACTGGTTCTGCTGTTACTGTACTGGTTCTGCTGTTACTGTACTGGTTCTGCTGTTACCGTACTGGTTCTGGTGTTACCGTACTGGTTCTGCTGTTACTCTACTGGTTCTACTGTTACTCTACTGGTTCTGCTGTTATGTTACTGTACTGGTTCTGCTGTTACCGTACTGGTTCTGTTGTTACTCTACTGGTTCTACTGTTACCGTACTGTTTCTACTGTTACTCTACTGGTTCTGCTGTTACCGTACTGTTTCTACTGTTACTCTACTGGTTCTGCTGTTACCATACTGGTTCAGCTGTTACTCTACTGGTTCTACTGTTACTGTACTGGTTCAGCTGTTACTCTACTCGTTCTACTGTTACTATACTGGTTCTGCTGTTACTCTACTCGTTCTACTGTTACTCTACTGGTTCTGCTGTTACTCTACTGGTTCTGCTGTTACCCTACTGGTTCTGTTGGTACTCTACTGGTTCTACTGTTACTCTACTGGTTCTGCTGTTACGTTACTCTACTGGTTCTGCTGTTACTGTACTGGTTCTACTATTACTTTACTGGTTCTGCTGTTACCGTACTGGTTCTGCTGTTACCGTACTGGTTCTACTGTTATTCTACTGGTTCTGCTGTTACTCTACTGGTTCTACTGTTACCGTACTGGTTCTACTGTTACTCTACTGGTTCTGCTGTTACCGTACTGGTTCTACTATTACTTTACTGGTTCTGCTGTTACCGTACTGGTTCTGCTGTTACCGTACTGGTTCTACTGTTACTCTACTGGTTCTGCTGTTACTCTACTGGTTCTACTGTTACCGTACTGGTTCTACTGTTACTCTACTGGTTCTGCTGTTACCGTACTGGTTCTGCTGTTACCATACTGGTTCTGCTGTTACCATACTGGTTCTACTGTTACTGTACTGGTTCAGCTGTTACTCTACTCGTTCTACTGTTTCTATACTGGTTCTGCTGTTACGTTACTGTACTGGTTCTGCTGTTACTATACTGGTTCTGCTGTTACTCTACTGGTTCTACTGTTACCCTACTGGTTCTGCTATTACTCTACTGGTTCTACTGTTACTCTACTGGTTCTGCTGTTACGTTACTCTACTGGTTCTGCTGTTACCGTACTGGTTCTGCTGTTACTCTACTGGTTCTACTGTTACTGTACTGGTTCTGCTGTTACTTTACTGGTTCTACTGTTACCGTACTGGTTCTGCTGTTACCGTACTGGTTCTACTGTTACTCTACTGGTTCTGCTCTTACCGTACTGGTTCTGCTGTTACCATACTGGTTCTGCTGTTACCGTACTGGTTCTACTGTTACTGTACTGGTTCAGCTGTTACTCTACTGGTTCTGCTGTTACCCTACTGGTTCTGCTGTTACTCTACTGGTTCTACTGTTACTCTACTGGTTCTGCTGTTACTCTACTGGTTCTGCTGTTACGTTACTCTACTGGTTCTGCTGTTACCGTACTGGTTCTACTATTACCCTACTGGTTCTGCTGTTACCGTACTGGTTCTGCTGTTACCGTACTGGTTCTACTGTTACTCTACTGGTTCTACTGTTACCCTACTGGTTCTGCTGTTACTCTACTGGTTCTGCTCTTACCGTACTGGTTCTGCTGTTACCATACTGGTTCTGCTGTTACTCTACTGGTTCTACTGTTACTGTACTGGTTCAGCTGTTACTGTACTCGTTCTACTGTGTCTATACTGGTTCTGCTGTTACGTTACTGTACCGGTTCAGCTGTTACTATACTGGTTCTGCTGTTACTCTACTGGTTCTACTGTTACCCTACTGGTTCTGCTGTTACTCTACTGGTTCTACTGTTACTCTACTGGTTCTGCTGTTACGTTACTCTACTGGTTCTGCTGTTACCGTACTGGTTCTACTGTTACCCTACTGGTTCTGCTGTTACTCTACTGGTTCTGCTGTTACTCTACTGGTTCTGCTGTGGTTCTGCTGTTACTCTACTGGTTCTACTGTTACTCTACTCTACTGGTTCTGCTGTTACCCTACTGGTTCTGCTGTTACTCTACTGGTTCTACTGTTACTCTACTGGTTCTGCTGTTACGTTACTGTACTGGTTCAGCTGTTACTATACTGGTTCTGCTTTTACTCTACTGGTTCTACTGTTACCGTACTGGTTCTACTGTTACTCTACTGGTTCTGCTGTTACCATACTGGTTCTGCTGTTACTCTACTGGTTCTACTGTTACTGTACTGGTTCAGCTGTTACTCTACTCGTTCTACTGTTTCTATACTGGTTCTGCTGTTACGTTACTGTACTGGTTCTGCTGTTACTATACTGGTTCTGCTGTTACTCTACTGGTTCTACTGTTACCCTACTGGTTCTGCTATTACTCTACTGGTTCTACTGTTACTCTACTGGTTCTGCTGTTACGTTACTCTACTGGTTCTGCTGTTACCGTACTGGTTCTACTGTTACCCTACTGGTTCTACTGTTACTCTACTGGTTCTGCTGTTACTCTACTCGTTCTGCTGTTACCGTACTGGTTCTGCTGTTACTCTACTGGTTCTACTGTTACTGTACTGGTTCTGCTGTTACTTTACTGGTTCTACTGTTACCGTACTGGTTCTGCTGTTACCGTACTGGTTCTACTGTTACTCTACTGGTTCTGCTCTTACCGTACTGGTTCTGCTGTTACCGTACTGGTTCTGCTGTTACCGTACTGGTTCTACTGTTACTGTACTGGTTCAGCTGTTACTCTACTCGTTCTACTGTTTCTATACTGGTTCTGCTGTTACCCTACTGGTTCTGCTGTTACTCTACTGGTTCTACTGTTACTCTACTGGTTCTGCTGTTACGTTACTCTACTGGTTCTGCTGTTACCGTACTGGTTCTGCTGTTACCGTACTGGTTCTACTATTACCCTACTGGTTCTACTATTACCCTACTGGTTCTGCTGTTACTCTACTGGTTCTGCTGTTACTCTACTCGTTCTGCTGTTACCGTACTGGTTCTGCTGTTACTGTACTGGTTCTGCTGTTACTGTACTGGTTCTACTGTTTCTTTACTGGTTCTACTGTTACCGTACTGGTTCTGCTGTTACCATACTGGTTCTGCTGTCACTCTACTGGTTCTACTGTTACTGTACTGGTTCAGCTGTTACTCTACTCGTTCTACTGTTTCTATACTGGTTCTGCTGTTACGTTACTGTACTGGTTCTGCTGTTACCCTACTGGTTCTGCTGTTACCCTACTGGTTCTGCTGTTACCGTACTGGTTCTACTGTTACTCTACTGGTTCTGCTGTTACCGTACTGGTTCTGCTGTTACCGTACTGGTTCTACTGTTACTCTACTGGTTCTACTGTTACCCTACTGGTTCTGCTGTTACTCTACTGGTTCTGCTCTTACCGTACTGGTTCTGCTGTTACCATACTGGTTCTGCTGTTACTCTACTGGTTCTACTGTTACTGTACTGGTTCAGCTGTTACTGTACTCGTTCTACTGTGTCTATACTGGTTCTGCTGTTACGTTACTGTACCGGTTCAGCTGTTACTATACTGGTTCTGCTGTTACTCTACTGGTTCTACTGTTACCCTACTGGTTCTGCTGTTACTCTACTGGTTCTACTGTTACTCTACTGGTTCTGCTGTTACGTTACTCTACTGGTTCTGCTGTTACCGTACTGGTTCTACTGTTACCCTACTGGTTCTGCTGTTACTCTACTGGTTCTGCTGTTACTCTACTGGTTCTGCTGTGGTTCTGCTGTTACTCTACTGGTTCTACTGTTACTCTACTCTACTGGTTCTGCTGTTACCCTACTGGTTCTGCTGTTACTCTACTGGTTCTACTGTTACTCTACTGGTTCTGCTGTTACGTTACTGTACTGGTTCAGCTGTTACTATACTGGTTCTGCTGTTACTCTACTGGTTCTACTGTTACCCTACTGGTTCTGCTGTTACTCTACTGGTTCTACTGTTACTCTACTGGTTCTGCTGTTACGTTACTCTACTGGTTCTGCTGTTACCGTACTGGTTCTACTGTTACCCTACTGGTTCTGCTGTTACTCTACTGGTTCTGCTGTTACTCTACTGGTTCTGCTGTGGTTCTGCTGTTACTCTACTGGTTCTACTGTTACTGTACTCTACTGGTTCTGCTGTTACCCTACTGGTTCTGCTGTTACTCTACTGGTTCTACTGTTACTCTACTGGTTCTGCTGTTACGTTACTGTACTGGTTCAGCTGTTACTATACTGGTTCTGCTGTTACTCTACTGGTTCTACTGTTACCCTACTGGTTCTGCTGTTACTCTACTGGTTCTGCTGTTACTCTACTCGTTCTGCTGTTACCGTACTGGTTCTGCTGTTACTGTACTGGTTCTGCTGTTACCGTACTGGTTCTGCTGTTACCGTACTGGTTCTACTGTTACTCTACTGGTTCTGCTCTTACCGTACTGGTTCTGCTGTTACCATACTGGTTCTGCTGTCACTCTACTGGTTCTACTGTTACTGTACTGGTTCAGCTGTTACTCTACTCGTTCTACTGTTTCTATACTGGTTCTGCTGTTACGTTACTGT